TGTGGTGTTTATTTTAGTTAGAAACCTGTAATTTGCGTTAGTTGACAGTGAATAATTACCCCACATTTATTGACTGATGGGGTCAACTTTCGGTGCGTCAGTCTTTTTTTTATTTTTTGTTTGATTTCAAACACACCTGGTTTCATCTTCTTCTTCTTCTTCGCGTTCACCAGCTGTACACTCTGGCGGAAAGTTCTGGTTGCTCGTCCACTACTGAACTGCAGTCCTGCTCCAGAACCTGAGTGTTGCGTATGCATCAGTTTTACAGATCTCATTCTCTTGAAAACAGACTGTTGGTTCCTTGCCTCTCCGGCAGATGCACTCCGACTTCAAAGGAAGCTCCCCAATTAGTCGACTCTTACGACATGCTTTTGGGGAGGCAGTGGGTCTATTCTTGTTTTGCCCACAACGGGGCCCCGGAACCCACACGGGGGACACCTGGTTTAATTAATGACATGTTTTCTTCTTCTTCTCCTCATCATCATCATTTTCCTCATTATCATCATCCTTCTTTTTCTTTTTTTTTCTACTCAGCGTTCCTGTTGATCTCTTGAGGTTTACTGCTGCATGTGCCTAGTTTTGTTGTCTTCTTAGTACGCTTGTATCCATGGCGAGGCGCACATGCCCTTATGAGGTGACAGGTTCGATTCCTGGCACGGTAACTATAGCTTCGACTTTTATGTTGTCTTGTGTGTCCTATCTTTCTACTTCTTTCTATGAGTGCCGATCAATACATTGTCTCTTTGGTAATTATATATATTACATAGTCGAGCTTCCTTTATTTCTATGTGGCAGGACTCTCTCTGGTGCACCATCTGGGATATATGTAGTCTTAAAAGTGGCTGCGTGGTCTCGAGGAATGGTGTCCGCCTCGAATGCTAGAGGTTCCAGGGTTTAATCCCCGGTAAGGACTGAGATTTTTTTCACGTGGACTAGGGTTTTTAGTAACCCCCCCCCCCCCCCCCCTTTTCCCCGGTCTCTGTGTAGTGAGATCCGACGCCCGTGTGCATTGCTGCGCACGAACAAAAAAATCCCTTGGCAGTTGGAAATCTAAGAGAGTAGCCTAACGGCGCTGCACGTGCAAAATTTGGAGTGAAAAAAAATCTACCCAAAGTATTTCAGGATCCTCGCCGGTGCTACAGAGCCTGTGAACTGTACTGAGCTTCTTCAGACTCAGACTTGACTTAGAAGAAGAACTGAGCACTTATGGGTTACTACCCGTGTGTTATGATGTTGATTCGATGTTCAAAACCTCAAAAACTAACACAATATAACTGGCAGAGATCCGCGGGCCACTAGTATGACCTCCGCGAGCCAGATGTGACCCGCTGGTAGCCAGTTGGATAGCTCTGCCAAAGTCCATTTAGTAGGGGGTGGGAGAAACGCAGATGCGTGAAGGCGAAAGAAGAAAGTGGGGGATGAGGAGTTAGGATAACATTGTAACCATACAAACCTCAACTCTAAATTCTATGACACAACAAAGAGCTTCTTTTCTTTCACTGAGTCTGACAATGACTGCTAAGTACAGAAAAGAAAGCCCGACGATGTGAAGTAGGAGGAAAATTTACAGCTGATGAAGATAATATCCATGATAATGACGATTACGACTACAGTGAATGTAATCCTGACAAACAGAACGTTAAATTCTACGAATGAACGACGGAATTCCACTGTTTTTACCTCACTTTAACAACAACCCCCCCCCCCCCCCCCCTCTTTCCTTGCAATCCAACGCTTTGCCTTCATCCCTTATTGTAAACACACGCATCCCTACAAGCATTATTTCACACTATGCTCGGGTGGATTAATCTAGGGGCCCCTTTACCAAGGTTAATTAGTATATTTGTCGGATCCACTTCTCTCTTTAATCCTTGTCGATCCAGCCAATCGTAGGGAAGGCTAAATATGTCACGTGCCAATTATCTGAATTCTGATTAGTAGACAGGCTACATAGGTCTAGACCAGGGGCGGACGGGAGAGTGACACTGGGAGATGAGTCCAATGCCAATGTGTTTCATTCTGTTGCCTTTAACATTTGGCTGCTAACAGATACATTCGTGTTATATTTTTTTCGTTATGGAAACCATATAGATGATTCTAGATGGGCTGAAGCTATGGCATGGAGGGATATCATCCAGAGAGCTGTTCCAGGCAACCAGGGATCGTGATAAGTGGAGACGCATGAATGCCTACGCCAGTTGGCAGGGCACAAGATGATGATTATGATCGGTATTGATTGTTCTTGCTTGTGCCTTTTTGTGTGCCAGTTTTTTTAGTCTTTATTTTTCACTTCTTTCTTTATAAAAAAAAAATTACCTTTCACGTTATCCGTCTATAAATAATTATATTGGCCTTTCTATTTAGATTTTCAACTTTTCCTACGTGCATTCTGCTCTAGTGCGTGCGTGGGTGTGTCTCTGTGTGTGTGTATATATATATATATATATATATATATATATATGTGTGTGTGTGTGTGTGTGTGTGTGTGTGTGTGTGTGTGTGTGTGTGTGTGTGTTTGCCCTGTACTTTTCTTGGGGTTTTTTCCCGTCGAACTTTTTCTTTTTTTTACTTCCTTACCTTTTCTATCATGACTTTTCTCATTTCTTCCAGGCCCAATTTGGTGAGATGGAAGATGTAGACATACTGCTCTGCCATTTCAAAAAGCATGGGGTAAAAGGCGTCCTGCACGAAGGTCAGCTGAAATCAGATGTCTTGAGCCAAAAGATGCAGATATCGCAGCCTATCTTAAACCGCAAACCAGCGTGCCAACATAAGGACAATAGAAAAAAAAAAAGATAGTGAACTCATTCCGTACCTATAAACTCAGTAGACTTCTACTTTAAGCTCCACTAAAGCTATTTTTTCCCCAACTACACATGTTCAGATCAGTTGTTCCATCAACCCACTTTTTTTTCAAAATTTAAGTAGCCTGCCGTAGAGCATCCACGTCAACCCTATCTCCTCCTGGTTTTTAAAAGGAGTAGAAAATTAAAGGGAAGAGAAAAAGTTGGTAAGAAACAACAAATAGTTTATGTTAGCTTTACAAAATCGATCACAATAAACAAACAAAGGACGTTGCGGCGGTTAGCCTTCATCAGCACATAAAGGACAACACAGTACATATACACAAATATGCTCTAACTATGAAGTGACTACATAGGACTCTTATGTATAAAATAAATGATACTCATCTGTGTCCCTGGCGAAAAAACTATCTCCCTCTAGGGGCGAACCATTGCCCCGTTAGCCTGAGACCTCGCTCCTTCAGTGTTCCGGCCACGACTTGCTCCAGCTGACAGGCCGTGCTGCTGACGTCACCAGGTCGGGCTAACGATGCGTTAACGCGGTGGTTCAAAAACAATAAATAAACTATTTTTGACCGTGGCTAGGAAGGACAACTTAGATTTTTAACTTTCAAGTATCTACATTCCTTCTTTATTAATTTCACTATTTTAGGCGACTTTTCTTGATTGTTTCCGTGGCTCTCCTAGCATACGCTAACGGCACCCCAGTGTGCTTCGGCACCCAGTTTGAGAACTGCTGCTTTATCGCATCGTTAGCCCGACCCGGTGACGTTAACAGCACGGCCCGTAAGCTGGAGCACGTCGTGGCCGGAACACTGAAGGAGCGAGGTCTCAGGCTAACGGGGCAATGGTTCGCCCCTAGAGGGAGACAGGCACTAACCTGGTCAGATGTTTATCCTCCCCGCCATGCGACGGGCGTAGCAAGCCGGCAGTGGTGTAGGTGATTGATACTACACAAGAAATATTGAATGCAGCCAAACATGGACAATAACTAGGGCACCATTACAGAAATTACTACTTGTGAAACGTGCTATCTCCGCACGGTCACCTACAACACAAGTAGAGACAGAGTTACGAATACCAGCGTTAGAGAGAAAGTTGAAATAGGAAGGTGTCTGGGATATATTTACGGACAAAGTATGAAATGGTTCAGCCATCCAGTGAGAATACAGCTAGACTTAACTGCATGCAAGACTTTTTACAGCAGAACATCTGGGAGGAAAACGAGAGGAAGACCAAGAAAGCAATGGATTAATGGTGTGGCAGAAACCTACAAAAAGATGAACAAATCAATCATCTCACAAGCCACTCGAGAAGCGAAAGACAAATACAGAAAGCCACGACACTGGGCTACAACCTGGTATCAGAGAGACAACAACAGAAGAAGATGAAGAATAAAAAAACTTTTTATTTTTATTTTTGATTGAAGCCAAGGTTTTTTAGTTTTTTTAGTTTCAAGTAACATTTACCTCGGTTAAAATGAGTTAAGGTAAAGGTAAAGTCGGGAGATGTGAACCAGCTTCATTGCACACGGATATAAACCATAAGTGCTCTGCCACCAGTACGGACAGCTGATAAGAATTGTCCGCCTGTGTCGCCGTTCTCACGTAACTCTGTAGCTACAGCGACGTTCCTCCATTTACCTCAGAGTGTCAACTATGGTACCCATTTCCCAGAGGCTGGGTGAACCCCGGGAGCAGCCCGGTTTCGAACACTCATCGTGGGCTGCAGCGAGTCGCAGCTAATTTGAAAGCAAGCCTCTTATCGACTGCGCTAACGCGGTCTTCATGACCAGTAGATGGAAGTTACTGAAGCAGTTCAACAGTTTGCCTGTTGCTGTGAAGGATATAGGTTCTGTTCCAGCCCAGAAGGATATGGGTTCTGTTTCAGCCCAGAAGGATGTGGGTTCTGTTTCACCACAGAGGGGTATAAGTTCTGTTTCAGCCCAGAAGGATACGGGTTCTGTTTCAGCCCAGAAGGGTATAGGTTCTGTTTCAGCCCAGAAGGATATGGTTTCTGTTCCAGCCCAGAAGGATATGAGTTCTGTTTCAGCCCAGAAGGATGTGGGTTCTGTTTCAGCCCAGAAGGATATGGGTTCTGTTTCAGCCCACAAGGATATAGGTTCTGTTTCAGCCCAGAAGGATATGGGTTCTGTTTCAGCCCAGAAGGATATGGGTTCTGTTTCAGCCCAGAAGGATGTGGGTTCTGTTTCAGCCCAGAAGGATATGGGTTCTGTTTCAGCCCAGAAGGAAATGGGTTCTGTTTCAGTCCAGAAAGGTATGGGTTCTGTTTCAGCCCAGAAGGATATGGGTTCTGTTTCAGCCCAGAAGGATGTGGGTTCTGTTTCAGTCCAGAAAGGTATGGGTTCTGTTTCAGCCCAGAAGGAAATGGGTTCTGTTTCAGTCCAGAAAGGTATGGGTTCTGTTTCAGCCCAGAAGGATATGGGTTCTGTTTCAGCCCAGAAGGATGTGGGTTCTGTTTCAGTCCAGAAATGTATGGTTCTGTTTCAGCCCAGAAGGAAATGGGTTCTGTTTCAGCCCAGAAGGATATGGGTTCTGTTTCAGCCCAGAAGGATATGGGTTCTGTTTCAGCCCAGAAGGATATGGGTTTTGTTTCAGCTCAGAAGGATGTGGGTTCTGTTTCAGCCCAGAAAGGTATGGGTTCTCTTTCAGCCCAAAAGGATATGGGTTCTGTTTCAGCCCAGAAGGATATGGATTCTGTTTCAGCCCAGAAGGATATGGGTTCTGTTTCAGCCCAGAAGGATATGGGTTTTGTTTCAGCCCAGAAGGATATGGGTTCTGTTTCAGCCCAGAAGGATGTGGGTTCTGTTTCAGCCCAGAAAGGTATGGGTTCTGTTTCAGTCCAGAAGGATATGGGTTTTGTTTCAGCCCAGAAGGATGTGGGTTCTGTTTCAGCCCAGAAGGATGTGGGTTCTGTTTCAGCCATGTTTTCCTCAATCCTCTTGTTGCCGCTGTAGGTACACGTTTCGTGCTCTGTGTATTGGCAGGTTGGTTGGTTGGCATATCTCCATCTTTCTAGACACCAGTGTACCATTGTGACAGCAGTTTTCCGTTGTGACAACAGTATTCCATTGTGACAGCAGTGTTCCATTGTCACAAAAGTGTTCTAGTGTGACCGCAATGTTCCACTGTGACAGCTGTGTTCCACTGCAGTAACAGCGTTATGTTGTGACAACAGCTTCCGTTGTGACAACAGTGTTCCATTGTCACAAAAGTGTTCCATTGTGGCAACAGTGTAGCATTCTAGCACACTGAGACATGGTCGGAAAGGGGGTGGAGGAGGGGGGGGGGGCGGTTGGTATCATTATTCATGATGATAGCGAGTTTGACTAGCAAGAACAGCTCGCATTAAAAAAGAATCTTGCACAATTAGTGCGTGAGATTTAAGAACATTAGAAAATGTCTGCAACTGTCAGAGGCAGCCCGTGGCGCCCTCGACTACTCCAATTGACAAGGACCTATCAAATAGGTACTCGTAGGTGCAGCAAAAAACGCAGTAGAAGTAGGAAAAAGCAGCGAAATCGAAAGCTATAGTTACCACTCCGTGAATCTAGCATGCCGCTTTAGATAATGACAGCTCCTTGCTATGGCACCCCCAAGTGTGCGTCGACACATGGCTAACTAAATGCCCCTAAAAAGATGTCTTCATAAGCAAAGCCTTTCACAAACATGATACAACAACTGTGGAATTTAAACAGAATTCGTGTCTAAACATTGGATTTATGATTCTATTTTATAACATTAATTCTCATGGCAGTTAGGTATAGAAGAGACCCCATGCAGTTACAAAGGGAAGAATGGTAGTATCCACCCACACAATTATCTAATCTGTTCCTGGAATAACTACTAATTCAAGAAAACTACTAAATTAATTCAAACTATTAAAACAAGAAATTCTCAAAATAGCGATAACTGAGACAATCTCCTGCAAAGAAGAAAGAAGAAGACGCAGAAAGCCCAAAAACTACACATCCGTGGAGAAATCTTGGATGCAGAACCAGATCAGAGAGTTAGAAGAAGACGTCAAGGCAGTGAAAGCCAGCAAATCAACTTGAGAGGAAATTTCAAAAGAGGTTAACCATGAAGCAAGACAAATACTCACAGAGATGAAGAAGATGTAAAAGAAACTGGACAACGATATTAAAAGCTCAACAAAAAAGGGGGGTGGGTTGTAGCAGAATTGTTGAAAGATTTGCAGAAACAGCAAGATGAAAAGAACAAAGAAAGTGGATCCAGACAATCTGTGACAGCCAAAGAAAATAGCGGAAAGACAACAGAAGACAAGCCACAAGAAATAATACAAAAGAAGTCAACCAGCGCGGGGTACGAAAGGTTCAATGCCGAATTGAACTATTTCCACCAGAAAGCATCAAGACAAACGAAGACCCAAGAGCACAAGTTCAATACGGAGAGAGATTAAGAGAAGAGATGAGAATAGAACAGAAGAAAACATGACTGGAGACGGAACAACCAGAACACAAGTGCTAAGCAATTAAGAAGACACCAGAGAACAGAAACAGAAGCTAGAGGGCGATAGGAAAGACAAGATCATACAAAAGTTCTTATAAGGACTTGTGAAGTCATTACCAACCAATAACCCAGCTGATAACAAGTGAAGAGAAAATAGCAGCAAGGACAATCACGAGATGTGTCCTGGCTTAGTTGGGAAGGAAACCAAAACTACACAATAAGAAAGTACACCAGATACTCAACTCCTTAGCAACCATTACCGACATGTTACAACAAGTTAGGAAAGGAAGAATCAGCATCAATTAAAACGTCTGTTGACAACAACACCTTATAGAAACACAAGAAAACATCTGAACAAGTAGCGCACAATAAGATTCGCAATTATAGGCAATTTCTCTGAGGAGATAAAGTGCCTGAACTCCATCGAATTATTACGAGATGTTCGTTCTGCAAACAACCTGACCTGGCCTGATGCTCAAATCAAGTAGAATGTTGTTCTTTTTCTTCTTCTTTGTCCATGATATTCTAATATTTTTATGTAGAATGTCAGTTCAAAAGCTCCAATTTATTGTTCTTGAATTATTGGATGGGGTTCTTGAATCACATCCATATGTTACCACACGAAACATCTATGATCTCAAAATGGTTCCTTTCACTCGATTGCAAGTACTGTTCCATAGATTCGTCATTAGAAAATCAGGTGCTTCATTAATATCCTACTCCAAACAAGGGAAATCCACAGGTCACGGAACAGTCTAATATTTTAGGGGGTGGTAGATAGGCTGCATGCAATCGTGGGACCTAGGCTGCATACAGAAGTGGGACCTAGGCTGCACTCTCTCGTGGGATTAGGTGGGTTGGAGTTAGGCCCAGTTCTAGATTTTTTGGGGGTCGTTAAAAGCACCAGAAAGCCGGGAAACCCAGTCTTACCACCCTCTAAGATTTTAGACTGTCATGTGACGTCATCTGGGGGTCGGATATTAATAAAGCACCAAAAGTCACTAGACAGGCGATGACTGTTTCAGTTCTCCAATATAACTGTAATCTTCTGCATTTTGTCCCCCTGGGTCTGAAGGAATGCAGGAATAGATTTCGAGTCCTCTGTGATGCATAAAAAGCGCACAAAAATGATAGCGCTGATGACAGCCGTCATGGATACACAAGTGCTTCTGCCATAGGGGAATACCCAACTCCTCAGACATTCAACATTTGACAAACGATGAGACTATTCAAATTCTCAGACATAATTGTTAGTCCCTGCCTGCCCTTTGTCATTCCGGTTCTGTCCCTTGTCCAGTGATCCTTGTCACGCCAAGGGGAATGGCTTCTCGACTCGTTGGCAATGACGCAACAGTCTATCATTTGTTGTACACAATTAGTAAAACAATACCGGGATATTACCCTGGTCACGAACATCTTCTCAGCTGCAGGGGCTCTCAAACAGAACTTTATGGAAGGGTTCTTTTCAAGCGGTGGTACCTACGGCAAAATGATCTTGTACACAAAATCAAAAGTACATATTGTGTACTCTCTGCTGCAACAGTTCCGTGAACTTCACGAACCCTTCCGGTAGAGTTAGCTTTCTTTTTAACTTTATTTATTTATTTTTGTTTGTGTAGTCGTAATGGGGGACAGTCATAAGTCGCATGGGTCGTAAGTCGAGAAGAAGGTTATAAGAGAATTAATGGCCCCTAGGCTTGGAATCAACATTAGTAACACTAAAGCAACCAGCATGAACTTAGCTAAAGAAGATAACAAGGTTAGAACCCTACGGCCAGCAAATGGTTGAACCCAAACAGCATTACAAGTACATTTAATCTTATGGAGTATTCTGCTTAGGGCAGCGGTTCCTAACCTGTGGGTCACGACCCCGTCGGGACGTCGAACGACCATTTCACAGGGGTCTCCTATGATTATCGGAAAACACATATTAACTTAAGTTATGGGGTCCACAGAGCATTTGTAGATTTGCTCCAAAGCAGCCAGACATGGAGCGAGCTCCATCAGTACAGACACAATGCATTTGGAGATTTGCTCCAAAGCAGCCAGACACGGAGCGAGCTCCATCAGTACAGACACAATGCATTTGGAGATTTGCTCCAAAGCAGCCAGACACGGAGCGAGCTCCATCAGTACAGACACAATGCATTTGGAGATTTGCTCCATAGCAGCCAGACACGGAGCGAGCTCCATCAGTACAGACACAATGCATTTGGAGATTTGCTCCAAAGCAGCCAGACACGGAGCGAGCTCCATCAGTACAGACACAATGCATTTAGAGATTTGCTCCAAAGCAGCCAGACACGGAGCGAGCTCTATCAGTACAGACACAATGCATTTAGGTTACTTCACATTATTTTCAAATATGATTGTATCAAAACTCTCGAACATGTCCCGAGCCTTCGCTCCTGCCGTGATTTTTTTTTTTTTTTTACAAAACAGAAGATCTTCTTTACTATTATTTAGGGCTGTACCGAATATTCGCTTCGTATTCGCTTCGGGGCCGAATAGTAGACCTAAAAACTATTCGGTATTCGGCCGAATAGTTGCGGTCGGGCCGAATACGAATAGTGATTACCTTACTCCCGTTTCTGCATACACTGTGATGGACTGAAATAACTCTCTCATTAACACAATAGTTGCTGTTGTCTTAGTCTGTCGTAGCGGGGGAAACTGCGACCCGGTTACGTGGTATAACCAGCATAAAATGTCAACCGCAGTGAATGTGTGTCTCTTTGTGTGAGAGCGAGAGAGGGAGAAAGAGAGAGATCATGCATTTTTTGTTTTGTTTTTCAGGGTGTCTTCGCCCAAATCAAATTTGAAGATATTGCTAACGAGAATATGAAGGTGCGTTTAAATTACATCGAACGAACGGCCGAGCGAACGATGGTTTTGAAAGAGGCTGGAGCCCGAAGACAACTAATCACAGACATCAGAAGAAGACAAGTCATCATTTTTCAGCCATGTTATGAGAAGAGGGAAAATGGAACATTTGGTGACCACTGGAAAGATCTGTGGAAGGAGGGATAGAAGAAGACAACGAGAGAAGATTCTTGACAGTCTTGTTGCAAGGCATGGAGGTGTGTCAGCACACGAACTGATACATGCTGCAGGAGATAGCAGATTGTGGAGTGGCATGATCGCACACGCCAGTTGGCAAGTCACCTACCTGATGATGATGATACACTATTCGTATTCGTATTCGGCCGAATAGTTGGTCCCACTATTCGTATTCGGCCGAATAGTGAAAATCACTATTCGGTACAGCCCTACTATTATTACCATCTATAAACCGTATAAATGCGCATCCTTATTATTATCCGTAGCAACGAAAATAAGTTATGTTCAGGGGTCACCACCTCACGAAGAACTAAATTGAAGGGTCGCGGCTTACTAAAGTTGAGAACCGCTAGCCTAGGGTGTGTGAAATATGGTGTATATATATATATATATATATATATATATATATATATATATATATATATATATATATATATATATATATATATATATATATTAGATCAATGTGTCGGTTCAGTGATGACTTTT